TTCTCGAGAGAAAATATATCAGTTACTTACATGATCTCAAGGTACTTTTGGTGACGGAAAATTCCAGCAGGAATCGACTTCAGCAGATTATCTTGAAGATATCTGGGAAAATACGTATGCAATAGCTAAAGTATTGGTATTCCTGATAAGGAAAAGAATCATTTATAACAATTTTCTATTCATATTTCTTTTTTTCGTCGTTTGTTCCTTATCTTCTTCCTTACTTTTCTTTCCTTGTCCTTCCCCCTCATTCGCTATTTTCCATCTAATCTTCTTTTCGCATTCATTTCTTTCATCGCATCTAGTCATTTGTCAGGCAGCTTATTTTCAGCACTTTAAAAGACTCGACAGCACTTACAGATATGTCAAATTTGTGTTATTTTGAAATGACCATTCATCGAGTCCCTTTATTTGGTTACTACGAAGGCTCCTAAAACATAAAAATATTRAAAAGCATAAAAATACGAGATTGTTGAGATTCTGCCTCCACGACACARGCAATTTGTTTATTTTATAACTGCGATTATGAAAGACTTACAGAGCACGAAGACCTGGAAAACCAGAAARAGCATCCGACCAGATATTGGAAATTAAATTGTCCCCAAGATCTCTGTATGGAATATATTTTTTAATTGTTAGAAGGTCCCTTTTCAATTATTAAGACCCAAATTGTTTTATACTTACATTGCTTCAAGTTTCTCCAGACCACTAAACATGTTTTTCAAAACGTCTTTAATGAAATTCCCATTAAGTCGTCTGAAAGTAAAATGTGATTTTTTTTCTTCAGAATATGATTTGGATCCTTGGTCTCAAAGATTCAAGGCGTGCTGCTGAGCTATAACTTCGTTCACTTCTTGAATTGGTATATACATGCAGCTCTTGAAGAACTATGATGTTATAACTATATACCATAATGTTGCGTTTATATGTAGCACTTTTGATATGAAAAGAGAATGCGACGCTGGCGTTTACAGTGCAACTACTATGAGCGGGACCCCTCAAAMATCGAGAACCAATCAAATTCTAGAATAAAAACAATGCATTCCAACTTTGAGTAGTGGAACCAATCAGAAAGCAGCAGAAAGCAATAGCCATTCGATATATCTTTTTATTCCAATGAGAATTAATTAATGACAAGTAAGGTTAGCACGAGCGACCTACATCTGGCATGGACCGCATCTCGTGGCCCCATKCGCATCAGTTGGCCCCTTGGCCATAACTCGAGAGCAAAGCATGCTATGGTAACGAAACTTGGTAAGATGATTGACGACACAAGTTTTACCAATGCTGCCAAGTTTCGTTACCATAGCATGCTTCTTTCCCGAGTTGTGGCCAGGGGGCCACGAGATGCGGGCCACCAGATGTAGGTCGCACGTGGTAACCCCTTTTTCCTTGATGAGGCTTCATCTAAACTTGGATGCATCTTTATCTCTGATAAAGTCATCCTCGCTAGTATTCTTTATATAAAGAATAATAATGAAGAAGTTTTTRTCGGGTATAAAGGTCAATGCACGTTATGTGTATGGTCGCTACAAGTGGATCAAAGGCTATGAAGTATTCATGAGTTTGATAACGACTCAAAAAAGCGCTTTTAAAAATGTTTGTCGACTCGAATGCAGCGCTGATAGGTTTGCCTTTTTTGTAAAAAAAAGTTTCTTTTGAGACAAATTGGTACTTGGTCTATGACACAGTTTGAAAACAGCATCTTACTTCTCTTGTGCTTACAGCTACCACCTTGTTGAAATGACAATACAGCACGCACTTCAATATACTTACAATGTCTTTAACGATGGTAAGTTTACAAAAGACATTTCTTCGACCACAAATATATGATTAAAGCTCAACTCACTGAAAAGAAACAGAAACAAAACAGATACCGATGACTGACTCGCTTAGATGATGAATAGACCATATGAAAAACGAGCGTAAGTCTGGGAACAAGCTCCACGAACAATTAATGATTTCGAAAATATATTTTCATTACAAGAAAGTAAATTAGTAATTTCGGAAAGTTTTGTTGTCATATATTAAATCGCTGTAGAGTTAGAAGCATTTGAAATGTACCACAAACATGATAGCGAGGCTGGTAGGCCCTTGGTTGCTGCTTCCATACAAACCTTTCTAATTTCAAACAGATGTAACTTTTTATCATTTAATGTTACTACAATTTTGGAAGAGCACTAATTTCTATATACTCTTCCTAATGAAAGCATTGTTGTCTTCTATAACTGATGAACTAAGGTATCTCAAGGGACACGCCCTTTTTCATATGGTCTATGGGACGAAGCATTTCCGAGAGCTAGGCTTTTTTTACTTAATTGGCTTTAAATGCGCGCGCAAAACAATGACTGCAATTAGATAACGCGTAGATTCGTAATAATTAATGCGAGTATTTGCGAGCGCTATTTGAAGGGATTAGACGACTCTAAACAAAGTTATTCGATTCTGATTGGTCGAGAGTGGTTCAATCAAATCCTTAATTCCGTATTTTTACGCATTSCGTAAGGAAACTCATTCCGAAAAAATAAAAAGAAGTCAGTCGCTATGACGCGAACACACGGCCAGCAGAGAAAATTGGGAAAGATACGAAAATGCTTAATTTCGACATTTTTTGAGTATACTATATATAACTGAAAAATCGAATGACGTACTAATATGAATAAGGACATCATAAACGCATATTATATAACATGCCTTCAAATACGTCTTAATAATTTTGATCTGCTTATATCACAGGACAGATAAAAAACCGTTTTATGCGACAACGACTCGCCTTCGTACTCTCACTGCGCATGCTCGTAGAAATGCAATGCGCATTAAGAATCTTAAATCTTTAGGATTGAGCGTGGAGCGTGACGCCATCCAGATAAAAAAAAGCAATTTGAGCACGCAGACCAAGGTTTTTTCTCTATCCCCTGTGGTTCAGCTGGATTTCATTATATCTTATCATCCAACGATTATACTTGTTCATCATAGTTTTACTTACATCAATGACAGATAACTTAGTTTGACGAATGCATTACTTTTCACCTGGTAAATCTTATTTCCTGAAAATAAGCTATCAATACGAAAAAAAAGAGTTGTAAATTCTTTCAAATGAATTACTTAACCCGATACAATGAAAACTCGTTAAAGTAAATGTAAGTACAAAAAAGTAATTAGGACGGAGCTCAATTTAAACATATTCCCCTTGGTATATACCACTTGGAAATTAACGCCAAACCAAGTGTCCTATCAAAGGCCACTGCAAATCATGTATGTTGTTATTTGCATAACCAACCCAAGTGTTACATTCAAAGACGCGATACTTACATGGCTTTAGTGTTCTTAGGCAATCTGTCTGGAATGGACCTCAATTGAAGCGAAGTTACTATAATTCCACTACCATTTGTTTCCCTTCCACAGGTACATGAAAAAGGACAGTCTGTGTGGAAAAACCGTTAACAGTAACAAAATCGTTAGTTCCACCCTCCACCKCTCTATTCCATGACTTTACTAAAATTAAGATCATAACAGTAATGCCACGCTCATGACAGTGCAGTATGATTCATACCTTGAACACAGCCGTCACCTTCTGTATCTGGGGAAGAGCAACGTTTGAAGATAAATATTCAAATAATTTTTTAGTCATTAATCAAGGTAGGTATAACTGAAATTGAAGCCCCCTTTATCTTGACCTCTATTAGAAGCTTAGAAGCTGTTTGACATAAAAGGTCATGTTGTAAGGACAAAATGTTATTGCAAGACGCGAACAACTCAGTACTGAATAAGAGTCTGCTGTCTGTCTTTGTACCTTTTATTATCTGATAATAAGCTTTGAATCCGGATCGCGTAACGTTTTTATTAGAACTGAATATTATCTTGATCGTGTCTGACTGCGACTCGATTATTTGTGGATATCTGAAAATGATCAAAAACCAATCATCAGAATAAAAGCTGAAGTTGTACAAAAAGCATTTGGTGACAAAAAATTCAAAGTGATGGATGGATGTAACCTGCCTCAGATTGATTTATTTCATTTCGGATTACCTACTGCATTATAATTTAATTTAATTCAAACTAGAATATTGTAAATATTGTATTCATGTACAAATAAAGTTGTTATTGTTGTTGTTGCTGTCTACGCGTGTGTCATTAAGGACGATTTAACGATTTTAAGGTGCCGCTAGACTTCTCGAGACGCACATAGCAGTTTGTGGAAGKCGAGAGAGGTCGACTTGTTCCACTTGCAGGATTTGCATTTGCGTTTCGCGCCCATAATGGCGAGCATTTTTGTAGCACGCGCTAAATTTTCATACGTTTCTATACAGCGCGAGCAAAATTCAGCGTTTTTTGGTTGCTAATATTGGTAGGAAACAAGTTGGAAAAGTCCTTCGTCTAGGGCGTGGCTCCAGTGTGTGTAATACTGGTTGAGCTGAATGTGCTTTATTCAGCGATAGTGAGCTAATAAGGGGACGAAAGACTTTGCGAAAGTCTAGAGTGCCGTGTCATGCAAGAAAACAAATTAAAGCTAATAAAAATGCACAACCTTACTAATGAAAGACAAATTCCGCAGGATGAAATTAAAAAAGTGTAAAATTGTCAATCAGTTTTAAGTTATCTCTTTGTTCCCTTTACCTTGATCCACAGTACCGACCAACACGGAAAGTCGACAAGGCTTCCTCTCCATCATACACTTCTACGAAGTCAGCTGAACATCGCGGGCTCAACTCCATTTCAAATGCTTTAAATTCCAAACGAATCACGTGACCTTTGCTCGCCTTGATTGTCGACGTACATCTGACATTGTTGTCATAGTAACCAGGATAATAGGGCGAGACGATGTAGCCTGTATTGTTGGTCAGMAACTCRTTGCAGGCTGTGTGTTGAACATGTGGAACAAAATCAAAGTCTGTAAATTTAAGTTTTTATTTCAATCTTTTTTCATACTGAACGTCAAAAATGTAAGACGAGCTCTTTATTGAGTTTGTTCCGTGAAAAAGAAGACAGTTGTATTAGTGGCATAGCTAACAAGCCCCAGATTAGCTTTTCCGATTCTATAAAGATATCTCACCTTCTYTTGCTGATGGTGGCATGATATCAGAACAGTAACCCTCGGTGGTGTGTAAGGCACCTATCGACAGCAACCCTGGCTTGTTTGTGATTTCACCTTCGATAGCAAGCTTAAAAAAACAATTACCTTAGTAGGTGTTATAAACGACTACTCTACCGYGTGTCCCATCGAGGTTAAGACATACGACGAACATCATACCGGAGAAACAAAGTTTTACATGACCATTATTATGTTCGAACAATTAATGACTGTTTTGACCATCTACGTATAACAGATCCCCGGACAAGTTGTTTACACGGTATCAATAACTAAAATAATTTTAATCCATTCAAGTTCAAAATTCGACCTCTTATTTTAGGTCCCAAATTTRCACGGTTAGGCATACGATTTTTTTGTTCGGATAGCTCAATTTCATAGACCTTTTCTGAGATAGCGATTATGGTGCATTGTGGTCTAGCGTCTAGCCTTATATGGTGTTGCTTGTACCGCAGCTGGACCACAATGCATCCTGTTTATCGAACTCAGAAAAGGCCTATATGAACAGAACCACTAAACAGCAAACGTTTTGCCTCAACATTCGTTCGCTGCCGTGTAAACGCAGCGTTAGACTGGAACAGATCGAATAAAAAAGAAACAAGTCTTAAATAAGTTGGAACATATTTCCAGGAAGAATAATTGTCTGTAGTTTATCTAACCTTATATGCCGTTACTGCTGTCAGTGTTACTTGTCCATCCCTCCATCTACTGTCCTCACTGTCTTTGACCATCCATATCGGT